GGGTGGGATGGGGCGGGTGGGGAGTCATGGTGTGTGTATTGATTGTGTATCTATCTATCTGTTTGTGTGTGTGTGTGTGTGTTTCTTTGTTTCTTTCAGAAGGTGGCTGACCTGCCGGCTGTGCGTCCCAATGAGGTGGAGCTCGTCACAACCGCCGACATCAACACACTCGAGCAGGTGCGGTGCGCGGTGGTCGCTGCCCATCCACACCCCCCACCCCACACAGCCATTACCACACATCGCTCCGTCTGCATGTCATGTGTGTCTGTCTGCATCTGTGTGTTGTGTGTGTGCAGGGTGTGTACTCGCCCGAGACCTGTCTGTGGAACATGCGCTTCCAGATGTACGTCAAGCTCGAGAACACAGACGTCAGAGGTGAGCGAGGCGAGCTTAGCTTCCACCACACACCCACACCCACACCGCGGGACCCAGACCCTCACTGACGGATGTGTGTGTGTTGCTATGTGTTGTGTGTGTGTCAGTGTGGTTCTATCTGCAACCGAAGGAACCGTACGATGGCTGGTGAGTGAACGCTCAAACAAGGAGACGAGAGGGGAGGGGGGCCACACACACACACACACACACAGAGAGAGAGAGAGAGAGAGAGGTGTCAAGCAAGGATCCATTTATTTGTGCAGGCAATTCAACCACGTGTCGTTCTCCGTTGGGTTGCTCAACCTCAAGGACCCGCAGCGCACACGCACCAGGGTAGGCAAGCATCGGACCCACACACAGACACACAGACACACATACACACAGACAGACACCAACAGACACGCAGCTGCCTATGTGTGTGGTTGTGGTGGGGTGGGGCTGGCTGGTCGGTTGGTCTCTTAGTCGTATGACAGCGGCTTCATTAACGCAGAGTTTCCGTGCTTCCCCAACCAGTGGCCACGTAAGCCACCCACCCCACCACACCCCACCACACACACACGCGCCTCTCCCCTGTTTATCTGTCTGTCTGTCTGTGTGCGCTCATCGATCCGATCAGCGGTGCCCTTCAAGTTCGTCGAGATCAACCTCCTGTATGAGGATGGATACGCAGACTTCGACGGTCAGCCACACACACACGAACACACACACACACATACACAATGCCCCCCGGCGCCCACACAGACACCCCTCTCTGTCTCTCTCTCTCTCTCTGTGTGTGTACTGGTCATGTCATCCGGTCGTTCAGGCAACTGTGTGTTTCGCGGGAGCTTCACGCCCCGGACGTCCGACGTGAGGTGGCCGATGACCGTGGCGCCGCAGCCCCACATGCCGCGGGGCCTGCAGAACCACGGCGCCACCTGCTACCTCAACGTACTCCTCCAGGCCCTCTTTCACGTACCATCATTCAGACACCTCGTCTACTCGACACTCACCAAGGAGCAGGAGGCTACCACAGCCACACCCGCACCCGCAGCCAACAACACCCAGCAGCAACCTCAGCAGCACCAGGAGGGCGAGGCTGAGGCAATGGAGGTCGACTTGGTGCCGGCCACAAAGGACAAGGCGCTGCCGGCCAATGGGGCTGCCAATGGCGCCGCTCCTGCCGTCGCTGCCGTCAGCCACGTGGAGTGTCCCGTGAGCACCTACGTCACGCCCCCCAACAGTGACGGGACCGCATCGATGGACCAGCCCAACGCCCCCAACAACCCCAGTGAGGTGGGCGCCAGCAACAACGGCTGCGGCAAGCGGGGGCGCGATGACGAGCAACACCAACATCAGCAGATGATGGACACGGACAGCGGCAATGGCAACAACGGCAACCGTGGCGCGCCTGCCCCTGGTGCTGTTGGTGATGGTGGTGGTGGGACTGATGGCCCGGCGCCGTCTGCCGACCTGCCCCACCCCCACCCTCACCCTCACTCCGCCCCGCCGGACGTGCAAATGAGCGGCGATGAGCCGTCATCGAGCGCATCCGGCAACAAGGGCGGCGGTGCGTCTGCTGACCGCGAGAATGAGGCGGAGCCCCTCCCCGCCCCCAAGCGTCCCAAGCTGAGCGCGTCGGAGGATGCCGACCAGCCCATGATGGGCAGCAGTGAGAGCGAGGCGGCAGCTGGGTCTGCGTCGGCGAGCGGCATGAATGGCGACGGCCTGTCCCCCTCCCCCATTCCCAGCCCCTCACCCCCACCCCCAGACAAGCCCGATGACGAGGTCATGCAGCAACAGGAACAACAGCAGCAGCAGGAGCCCACAGAGTCCGCTCCCCCAGCAGCAGCACCAGCACCAGCAACAGCGGCGGCCGCTGCCGCCCCGCCCCCGCCCCCGCCCCCGCCCCCACCTCCCCGCCACGCCGTATTCGGTCCCCAACTGCCGCCCTGGTGGAAACGGGACAAGGACAAGGACAAGGACAAGGACAAGGAGAAGAAGGACCACGACGAAGGGGCAAAGAGCCCCCGGGCGGCCCCGCTCCTGTCGCTCAACACGACAGCGGCCACCACTGAGACGGACGGCGTGGGTGTGGGGGCCGCTGCAGAGGGTGGTGGGGGTGACGGTGGTGGCTTGGGTGTCGGCTACAGGCGGCTGACCATCCCGCGGGCCCTGCAGGAGGTCTTTTGGCGGCTGCAGCGGTCGAGCAGCCCCGCCAGCACCTGGCGGTTGATGGGTGCCTTTGGGTGGACTGCGCGGCAGGCCAGTGTGCAGAACGACACGCAGGAGCTGAACCGGCTGCTGTTTGACGCCCTCGACGACAAGCCCAAGATCCTGAGCAGCATCAGGTTGAAGCGTGCCAAGATCGAGGGCGCGGGGGAGGGGCAGCGGGTGGTGCAGACTGACGGCGAGGAGCCGCTCAGCATCAACGCACTATTCCAGGGTCAGTCAGTCAGTCAGTCAGCCAGACACACACACACACACACACACACACATGCACACGCACCTGTGAGGGGCGGCTGGGCTGCGTTGCATTGGGGGTGTGTGTGTGTGTGGTGTGTAGGCGAGACAGAGAACGTCATAGAGTGCGTGGATGTCTGCTTCACGTCGCGCCGCACGGAGACCTTCCTCGACATTCAGCTCAACGTCGAGGGCAGCAAAGACGTTTACGAGTCAATCAAGAAATACACCGAGGTCGGGGGGCTGGGGGCACACAGACACACACATGGCACACACACGGGGAGGCATGGATGTGTGTCTGTGCAGGAGGAGATATTAGACGGTGCTGAGAAGTACGACGCCGGCCCGCAGCACGGCAAACAAAAAGCCAAGAAATACATTCGGTGAGCGGCACGAGCCTGGCTGGCTGGCTGCGTGCCAAATGTCACTCTTTGGGGGGCAGATCCATTCCTTCCGTGTGTATGTATCTTCTGCAGCATCACGAAGCTGCCCCCGGTCCTTCAGCTGCACCTGAAGCGATTCAGATACGCCGTCACTGCGGTGCGCATCCAAACACTCACACACCCAGGAACAGACAGACAGACAGACAGACAACCGTCACTCCTTCCCCCCCTCTCTCTCCTTTGCCCATTCCACTCACTGATCAGAACGGAGCGCACGACATGGTCAAGGTCAACGA